AAAAAAAAAAAAAAAAGGCGGGGGGATTGTTAACTATAAGGAGATGGCCTATCCTTCTTTTTTCTTAAGGGGAGGGGGAGGGACAAAATAAAACATAAGCATAAAAGAAATTGTTGAAATGACCAGAAGAATTACACAGGCATTAATTACTATGGAAGTTTTCCACTTCCTCAGTAATTTGGCTGAGTTCATTTGTGAATTTGCTAGGTTAAAACCTAGTTCATGGTCACATTTCAACAAAACAGCTTGATTATAAAGAATAAAAATGTAAAAGGCTGAATTTTCTTCGTGGTGGTGTTTGGTTTGCTTTTTTTTTTTTTTTTTTTTTTGGATGGGTCACCTCTTTGTTCTCCTGGGTCCAGATTTATATAAAGCAGAAAATTAAGTGGAAATAAGTCTGGTGTTTATGCATTTGCAATTTCAGTAATTAAATGATACATATGTTGAAGTCTTACCTAAAACTTCTAAAGGTAGAATTATGCTATGTGAATTATTAATATGCATATAACTTGATTTCAAAGTATAAGCCTGGAAAAGTCTAGAATATTTCCTAGGAGTGCCATCTTGCTACCTGAATACTAATTTGAAACAAATGTGATACTAAGGGTGCCTTAAATTTCTAACACCTTTGCTCAGTGATCACAAAGTCTCTGCTTAATTTGAGACTGTTACTCCGAACACACTTTGCATCCCTGTGGGCTTATTTTCCCCAGGTGTCCCAGTCTATGTGGCTACATTTTATCATGATTTTATTGATAGCCTCTGGCATGGGGGTCTGCAGCCCAAGTCATTGCCACACATTTTGCATTTTTAAATGGTGGTTCTCACCAAATAATGCCGCCCCCCCCCGCCAAAGAGGAAACCTAATGATACCCAAAATCCTCTTTTTAAGTGCATCTTAATTTAATGACGTAAAATTGAGTAAATTACAGCACCACAAAAGATCTTGCAGTAATTTTTCAGCCCAGTTCTCCAATGTCATAGATGTGGAAACTGAGGCACAGATCTGTTTGTGTCTGTAAGAGAGAGGTGTTACACATGTTCACACTTCTGACGAAAGAATTTGGAGATTCTGATTAATGTCATGTATTCTCTGCATGGAATCTTAATAGTGCCTTTAATATTTTAACTTATTAGAGTTGGGCTCATTAAGATACAGTGTTTGCTTTGAAATCAATGTTTCTGTGGAAACTAATTTTAACTTTTACAGATATTGATTACAGCCTTGTGAAAAGGCAAGAGAAGGAGGAATGCTTTGCTCTCTGGGCAGTAAAACAAAAGCAATTAATAAAATTAAAAGTGGAAAAAAAGAAAAAGGGTAAAAAAGGTTTGTGTGGGAGGAGGGCAAAAAATTTTTCACGCAAAGAGTATTTGTTGAAGTGAGTGTACATTTGCAAAAAAGAAAATGAAAAAATAGCAATCCTCCTTCTAGCTGGGTGGAAATGTGCCTTTTCCATAAAATATGTTTACAAATGAAAGGTGATTTAAAATGGAGGCATGTGTGTTCCTTCTTACTTTGAGAAGGGCTTGAGGAATCTGAAAATTCAGTAGCTCCCAGGAATATTTTTTCTCATGATTAAAGTCGTGTCCTTTTAATACTTTATACAGTTGTTGCTGCATGTAATTATGGTTGTTCTCAAGCACTACATTTGATATTAAAATGTGTTTTTCGAGAATATGACATACAATTGATGGGCTCCCATTCCCCCCCTCCCCCAACACGGTGGTTGTATCCAGAGAGAATTTATCTTTAAGAAAATACCCTTTGTGGGAAAAGAGGACACATGGAACCTTGCAGGTTAGGGTTGATTTTTGAGTAGCCCAAGGGGAGAGAAGGCTGCCCGTACAGCAGCTACATTGTGAGAATTTGCGGGAGGGAAATGCTGCGTCAGTCCGCCAGCTGAAGGAGACTGCGGTGTCTGGGCATTGTTTGTGAATCCTGGGCGTTTTAACCATGAAACCTCCGACAAACAGTGAATTCTGTGGCTGTCTACATTTATGTGTGCGTTTCACCAGTGAATGCTCCTATTTCAAGGATTCAGTTTCAGTTTTAACTTCAATTTTCTTCCCCCCTCAAATGACAAAATTGCGTCATTCCTTCTCTTTGCCCCTTGGCTTCTCCACCTCACAAATTTTAAAACAACCCGAAGGGGGGAAAAATTCCTGAAAACAGCAAACCCTTTAATTCTCGTTACTGTGGTGGTGAATACTGTAGGTAGAGCTGGACATGTGTTTCATTTTCTCTGCGTCGAAATGTCAAGGAAAATTGCAAGTCTGTTGTTTTGTTTTGTTTTTTGCGTGCTGCTTCTATGGAAAAGACAGAAGCCCTCTTCCCTGCCCAAAGTGTGTAAAATGCCTCCTTCATAACCTGAGACTTACTTTCATTTTCTAGGTGCCGGAGAATCTGGTAAAAGCACCATTGTGAAGCAGATGAGGATCCTGCATGTTAATGGGTTTAATGGAGAGTAAGTGTCAACTCTGTGCAAGGGCACAGGAAGATTAACACGTTTTATACTAACCTTTAGGAAGTTTAGGTAGATTTTGGGGGCTGGGCAGCCAATTTCCACTTAATTTTTTCAGCCTACATATTAGAAAATCCAGGGAAGTGCTCTTTGGGGATTCCCCCCCTCCTTTTAATCTTTGGTGCAGCAGTAAATAATAATAGTAATAATAAAGCACCAGTGTTCTTATAAAAATGCTCCCCCTCCCCCAAGAAAATAGCACTTTTACAGATAAAAGTAGTCCCATGACAGGTCTGCCGCAGACCTGCCCACAGATTTTGGTGCAGTGGGTCTCTAATGGCTGACACCTGCTGTGGCCACCCCCTTTGCAGGTAACCTGACCACTGCAGAGAAGCCCCCCCCCCCCCGGCCCCGCACCCCAGCAGACGTCAGCGCAATGCACCAATGTAGGGTGTTTTAAACTATTAGGGAAAAACAGTTTCCATAATGTTCTCATGTAAAACAAAGTTGGAAAGAGGCAGCAGCCCCTGTTAATAATTCCTCATTCCCTCACCACCCCCCCTTTGGAATTAATATTATGGGCAAATCACTGTTTCCCTTGCTAAAAATCAATAATCTCGCATAAAGAAAGAAAAAGACATTTAAGTGATGGAGACTGGGAGTTAGGTACTTCCGGCCGGGTCAAGGGGCATTTTTGCCTTTGAAAAGTCCTTGCAGGCATCTTGGTTTAGGACAAGGTGACAATACCGCATTGAGAATAAAGATTAAAAGAGAGTGCGTGTGTATTAGGGATGGAAGAGAAATGCGGGGTCTTGCTTGCCATGAAGAATGTAAACAGAGGGGGCGTTCAATATAATCAGGGCATTTGCTTTTCTCCCCAGACCCCAAATGCCCCCCCCCCCCCCGGCCCTTGTGAAACAGAAAACACTAAATCTACCAGCTGTCTGCTTTCACTGGGGTGACAGCTATTCACCGCACCGGATTGCAAACACCTGAAGGCACTAGTTTGCAATTACTAGCTGGTTAGCAATCCCATTCCTTTCCCTAAACCTGGATTCAGTTGAAAACTTGTCTCTCCCTTGCATCCCATTTAGTTTCAAAGGGGGACATTGAGTCAAGGCCGCGTAGTTTCAGTTATGCACCAAAACCCCACAAAAAAAACAAACCAATAAAAAGCCACTTACAGACGCCTACTATGCACCAAGCACTAGGGACACAAAGATGAATTTTACCACCTTTCAGAGGTAAAAGGACTGCCCTTGAAGGCAGCTCTTTATGGAACATTCTAGAATTTCTTGGTTCAGATAATCGGGGCTGAGGATGATGTCACACATACAAATGGGTGTTTTAGTTTAGGATGCTCTATGCTTTAAGCACGAATCTAGAAGGATGGGCTATTTTACCAATTTTGAGTGACTTGACTTATCAATACGCACATACATGCAGCTAATTAAATACTCACTTTCACTTGTCACAAAGCAATTCTGAAATTCTTAATTCCTGACACACCCTTCAAAAAGCCCTATTCCCAGAGATTGTCAGCGGTTGATAAACAAAAAGCCAGAAACCAACTTTTAACTATGTGAATTTGTAATTTAAAGAAAAATCTTGTATAATTTTTTCCCCCGTAACTTGCCGGGGAGTGCTTCTTCTGGAGGCTAGTTAAGCAAAGATAATTTGACCACGTACCCTCTAGATAAATATTTTGATTAAAACTGGACATGGCTAGCGTTTTTAAAAGGATGCAGCCGCCGCTGTTTACCTTAGCTCGAGTCCAGCAGAAGGTAGGACATCCTTGCAATAATTTACTTAAGGCTTTATCACTCTCCACACTGCCCTACAATTTTTTAATTTTTAGAGAAAGGATTCTCCTCCCTTGGCGAGCCAGTCTGTAATGCACATGAGGCATTTAAACCAGAACTTCTCTTTTCTATTTTCTTTTTAAAAAGAGGAAGCGACATTCCCAGTTTGCCTGCCTTGTAGAGGAAGCCATAGGTAATCTCTCAGGATGTTAAATTTAGCCTGTGGAAGTGACATACAGGGGATTTCTTCGTGTGAGTCTAGAAACCTTATTTTTGTCTCCTTCAAGTGAGCCTCCTTTTTTCTTTTTCCTCAGTGCGGTATTGCAACAAAAGCGTTTGCCTTCTTCGCTAGGAATTCCCTATGAAATAATGGTGACATCCATCCACTAAAGGGTGTTTTGCGTGGTGCAGGGCCTTTTCCTCCTGGCTCCCATAAATGTGCGCTTTGTTAGGGCTGGGCTGAGCTATTAAATTTGCCTTAACTATCCGCAGACTGCCATGCCGATTACAGTTTTAGAGTAAGGTGTAATATTAATCTGACCTTGAGAAATACAGAGGTCAAGTGTGGATTTTCCTAACTCAAAAGCTAACTCTTCCTTACAATTAGTATCAGGGGGGAAAAGGTGCCATTAACATTGGTTGAGCTAATAAGCTAATCAATTACAAAACCATGTAGAACGCTTAGCCATCCTGCCCTTCCCACTTCCAAGGAGGAATTCCTACCATTTATGAGGATTGGTTTTTGAGTAGGGTTTGTTTTTGTTTTCTTTTTTTTTTTTTCTTTTATTTTGCTGCCTCATGGTGCAGACACACAGTTTTAATTGATGACAATTTATCGGGAACAGTTAATATAAAAACACTTCATAGGTAGTTTCCCCGACTATAAGAAGGGAGGAAATTAATACTGCACCAGGAAATCATGGGCCAAAATCACCCATGTCTGGGCCTTTGTGTGTTCAGATACAACATGGTAAAGATCTAGGAGAATTAAGGAGCCTGATGCGCTGCTATATTCTCAGAAGAATTGTGAGATAAATCACGGCTTTATCTCCCTAATGCATGTACATTTAGTGAAAGCACAAGAAAATAATTATCCGTCCCTTCTGTATACCCGACCTGCGAGTCTCCAGGGGGCTCGGCTAATACGGTGGCGGAGGTGTGGCGTTCTTCCCTCCACGGCCTGCAGTCTCAGTAGGCCTTCCACCTTAGCCAGAAAGGCGACTAGGACTGAATGGGAGGATGGCGGCCATTTGTTTAGGAATGTAGAGAGGCTGTGTGGGGTTTTGGGAAATTGCGGTGCCTTGCAGATTAGGTGAGCTTTCAATCTCTCTTTAAAAGGGGCGGCGAAGAGGACCCGCAGGCTGCAAGGAGCAACAGCGATGGGTAGGCACATTCAAAAAACAGAAAAACTTTTTAACAAACAAACAAACATGAAGATCATACTGGGAAACTGAGGGCTGAGCCCCCGGGGAGGAAACAAAACTCATTTCAGGGCCATCGGCCATCTTGGTATAAGTTTGCACGTGACACCTAAACAGTCTTTGACATTTCAGAGCCAGTGAAGTGCAAAACATAATTTGGGGGGGGGGGCCATTCTTTAAATGTAATTAAATCCAGCTGGGGGAAAAGTTACAGATTTCAGTGTTAGACGATCAGTTTAAGATTTCGAGAATTGATGTTTTTCCATATGGTTTCTGTTTCCCCACCCCTACCCCAGCTGTCCATTCAGATTGGCTACTTGTTTTTAAAACTATCTACTAAATTCCCATCCACCCAGTGCTTGGTCTGATTTTAAAATTTCAGACTTGGCGGGGAAAAAAAAATCTTTTTCCCTCTCAAAATATTCGTGGTGCTGCGCTCTCTGTAATTTGGAGAGGAAAAAAAAAAAGTGCCTCAGCACCTTGCAGGAGGTAATTGTTAAGAATGATATCAAAGCCTCTGATCTTTTTAAGATTTTCAAGTATATTTTGAATTGGAGGCATATTGCATTATTAGCTAGTGGATAGGAAATTCATGATGGCATCCGCTTTTTTTTTTTTCCATTCATCATCAATTTTGTTTTCCTTCACTTCCTACATCCCCACTCCCCATTACACGCCGACACGCACACGCATGCCAGGTAACCATTGGAGGTCTGCTTGCATATTCAGCATGCAGTGATGAAGCAGCTATTTCTCATGAGAACACGCAGAGCTGATGGACCTAGCCTAGGGCATCTCAAAGAAATAGCCTCTGTGGCCGGGGTGGGGCGGGGCAAAGGATCCTGGGGTCGGGGACAAAGTAACTTACACATGTTTGTTCATCTGTTTCTTTTAGAATATATTATCCCTAGATGATGGCTACAGTTTCTCATCTTCCCGGCTATGTCCTATCACACTTTGCATGCTGGAATTGCCTGGTCTTAGGAACTTCTAATAAGAATACTATTCTGTTGTGGGGGGGGAGGGGGATGGGGCCCTACCACCTAACCTCAAAAGATAACTGAAAACAAACAAAAAAAAAATACAAAAAAAACACACACACACAAAAATATGGCATGAAATCCTTAATTGGCAGAAATGTAGTATAATAGCAATCCAAAAAAGGCATCTACATAAAAGTGACTGACAGTTTACTGTACCAAAAGTTGGCATTTGAGAAATATGACAAACCCTTATAGAACCAACTACTGTGTACTAGATGCTGCGCTAGATCCTTGAACCCTACTAATGCCTTGCCTGCACTTCTCTCTGTGACTCTGTTCTGCAAGTAAATATAAGAATTAACATACGTGATAAATAAAAATTCTCTGCATGTCTCAGCAATCCCTGTATCTTGCGTCTGTCTTCTGTCTTTCTTCTTTTGTCCTTTCCCACAAAGCCCAAGGATAAAGTATAGGACGGAGAGAGACTTTCGGGACAACGTAGCCTCCCCCTACCACTTAGGCAGCTGACCGGGGCGGGGGAGAGAAGGGGCTCCTAAAACTCAAACCCAGACAACAGGCTTTATATACATGTTGGCGGGGGAGGAAGGGGGCAATGTGCTACAAGCACTTCTAGCCCCAGCCCTGATATTTAGTCCGTCCAAATTGTAGTAGTTGATACATAATTTGGCTTTGTTAAGTAGTTTAGAGACATCTGAGGGATTTTCTCTGAATTTCACAATCAATGTTAAATTCATTAAGCGATAGTAAAAATGATAAACCTGCCAGCCCTAGTATAATATCTCCATCTACATAGTAATTGCTTCAATGGAAGAATTTTATGTTTTAGTATTACACACCCGAATTAGATTTTAGATTTCTATTTTAGCTGTTTTATACTTGATATACTCCCACACCTATTCACATACGTAGATGAATACTGAACACGTTCTCAAAATATCCGTATTTAAGACTGGAAGTTTTCCAATTATCATACTACTACTTAGACCAAAATATCAAACTGAATGAAAGAACCTAGTTTCTGGAAGTACTTTCCTCTTGCTGTACGTACATTTGGGTATTTAATACCCGGACATCTCTAATTTTAACTACCGTGGAACCTTGAAACTGAAGGTTAATGGCTCTCATTACCATGGAAATGGAGCCTGTTTTTAATGAATGGGAATGGATTTCTTCTGTGGGGTTTTAGGTAAATTTGAGTCCACAAGTGAACATTAGGGGCAAACACACATCCTTTAAAAAATTTCTAACGTCTAAATAACTGATTCAGACTCTAGCACCGAGTCTGGACATGGTTCCTAATTTCAGAAACGAGCTTCAGTTGGTGCACGTACAAAGCAGAAAAGTCCCACAGAAGGGTCAGGACTCTGGGTCTCTTTTCAGTGTAGGGTGGTTGCATAAAGAGTGGGGGACCAGAGCCGGACCTCCGACCGGGGTGCGGATGCCACACTTGTGGTTTGCAGGATCTCTTACTATCATGTCTGTTACTCAAGTTCTCCCGACTTCAGCACTTTTAAGTGGCCCTGAGGGGGTTCCTGGTACCATTTACCACCCCCCCCCCCACGCACGTGCACATACCCCAAAGCCTACTGACCCTCCCCCACTGGTGAGAATACTTCCAAACTAGCTTCTTACTCTCATATGAAAAGCAGTTTCTCTGAGGCCAGTTTACCAGAAAGAGGGCTGATCCTGGAGAAGGGATGAAATGAAATCAGAAAATCGGGGCCCACCCCTCAGATCAATATGCGGATCTTCCTTTTGATAAGAATAAACTGTGCAGGAAACATTAGCTATTACAATTCGGTGGAAAGGACCAGGATCGGGCTGGCAGGCGAGCCCATGACCCCTGCACCCCAATCTCCCTCCCCTGCGCCCTGCCCTATGATTAACCCTACTGCCGGCCTGTGGGTGTTATTAACCCCCCCCCACTTCTCTCTGTTTCCTCTACTCCTGAGGGCTACCTCCATTCCAGGACTCTTGGTGAATCAACCAAGTGAAAGCTTCAAAAGTTGGGAATCTCGAGATGGTCTTTAAAAATCCTACACAGCAAGAAAAAGATGAGCTCTGTCCCTTCTCCCTCTGTGACTCACTTTTCCTCTCAGCCTTAGTTTCCTCTGTGAGGGGGCGGCGCCTGACTTCCACGTGACAGCGCTGTCACAGCCCCGGGGCCTAATGCGCAGCAGGTGTGTCCTGCACATGGTTCCACGTCCCCCCCCCCCCCCCACACACACCCAAAACCACAAGGTTGAGGCAATAGGTGTGATAAGATTTACCCCAAGCGAGAGGCCCTTTTTATCCCCTGAAGACACAAACTCTAGACTCTTCTTTGGTCGTGTCGCTGATGAAGGACAGTTGCTGAAAGACACCTAGGCGCTTCCAAATGATGTGATTGGGAGCAGGCATTCCATCAGGGGGTCCCCCCAGGAGCCAGAGGGTGTGGCCTTTACTTGTGGTCCCAGTGACTCTGAATAAAAAAAAGATCATCCCACATGTCCTGTATGACTTAGGTTCAAATCAGCTAAACCTTGGACTTCTACTTAACAGGTGCCCCTGCCCCCCACTGCCCCCAGCACACAAGTCCCAGATCATAAAGACTCCTGGGGGGGGGGGATCTGATCTTATCCCTATTCACGTGGAGGGATCAGCGTATATTAACATCACCTAGAAGCGTCATTGCTACTGGCTGAGTGACTGACACGGTGACTTAATTAATAAAAATGGCCTCAAAGCCTTCAAATCTGTAATATCACCATCTGCATTCACTGGTTCTCTATGTACTAATCCAGTGATGGAGTAAGCCCCAAATAGAACCATGAAACTTTTTCTCCTCCCCAATATGATTGATAGAGCACCCCCATGTCCCCCCTCACATCATACATACACACACACACACACACACACACACACACACACACACACGCTGATAAGGGCCAGTAGGAGCCTTTTAGGAAGTGTTGGTGTGCAGTGGGAACTTCAAAAAATGGACCCACATCTGAAACAGTCAGTGAACCAGGTCTGGCTTCTGGTACAGTAGACTTGATCATTATCTTGATGCCAATTTGCTAATCAGCCCCAATTGGGCGTGTCCTTGGGACACATTGGGGAGGTTATAATTTGAAACCACCTTTATTCAGGAACCTCCAATCCATACGGATTTGAACCCACAGCTCTTGCAAGAACAGAATACTATGCTTTTAGTTGGAATATCTTGACTAAAGAGACCCTGTTCGTCAATGTGATGCAATATGATCTCTCTCTCTTTTCAATCCCACTGTAGTGAGAAGGCGACCAAAGTGCAGGACATCAAAAACAACCTGAAAGAGGCGATCGAAGTACGTGTTTGGGTCCTATCTCTCTTCCCTTAGCCCCCTCCTCAGGCAGTGCTGCCCCCCTGACTGCTTTGCTGGCTTGTTTTCAGACCATCGTGGCCGCCATGAGCAACCTGGTGCCCCCTGTGGAGCTGGCCAACCCTGAGAACCAGTTCAGAGTGGACTACATTCTGAGCGTGATGAACGTGCCTGACTTTGATTTCCCTCCTGTAAGCTAAGCTCTTGGGTTGTTCCTTCCCCCCCACCCACCCCAGCCTGGCCCACGGGGCGGCACAGGTGATGAGCCCCCGCCACTGGTCACCTGTGTCAGCCGCACTTCCGGCGAAACACCTTTCCGGAAAAGTGAATTCCCTTAGGGTCCTTAATGTTCAAAACCAAAATCTTAATAATCAGTAGGGTTTTTGCTCAAGATGGGGGAGCAAAATCCGATCAGCCCTTCTAAGTCCTGGCTCGCCCATCCCCACAAGTCCACACCCCACTTTAATCCTCGCGCTAGTAGATTGCAAATGTTTATGAGGGAAGATGGCACGGGCTGTGTGTCACAGCCTCCATTACGCCCTCGTACCCATCTCGTGGCGAACCAAACTGTATGTTAAGTGTGGCGCACAAATGCTAATTGTCCAGTTAAATGAACGGACCCGAAGATAGCAAAGAAGGCAGAAAGGAAGGGCCAGCCCTGAGTTTTATAAATGGGAGACATTCTCGTTTTCAACAATTTGCTGTTTGACCTTTATGAAGTTTTAAATCAGTCCTTGCGTTGGGGCAAATTTTTTAAAAAGGAAACAAAAAAGGACTTTCACCTAAATTATCACTTGGAGATTTTCTTCTGTGCATCCTCGTTGGCGTGCAGGACACTTTACAAAGATTCTCTGTCCCATAAAGAGCTATTTTTAGGTGACACAAAACTGCCCATGCCAAAACATACGTTTTGACCCCTTTGTAGGGGAAGAGTGGTTTCTCAGAGGGGAACGGGAAACAAGATGGAAAGATGCGCAAGTTTATAAGGCCCAGAAGGAAAAGACTTGTCTACAGTTAGAACAATGAGTTATTGTGGCCTTTTGTCAGGCTTTCCTGGGAATTTGTGTTTGTGTATTTTAAATGGGCTTGGCTGCAAACTTCTACTAGCAGGGAAGCAGTATTAATAAGTAGGGCTAGGTAATTTTTTTTTTTTTTTAAGTAGCACTTGTTAGAAAAAAAAATCAAGCGGTCAGCACGATATACATAATGCATATTTCTAATAGAAGGAAAAATGGCAGCCAGTTGAAAATGCACCAGAACAGTAACCTTTTATTAGTCGTGCTGATAGCTGAACTTTGTGTCCCTACCTGCTTTTAATCCTTCTCTTGCTAAATTCATATTGGAAGAGAAACCTTCCCTTTCCTCGTAAGGAAAGATTGCCCCCATATAATTAAAAATGTTTCTATGTTCAAATGAAATGTGAATCATAACCTACTACAATTTAAAACAACAGAGGTTATTTGCTCCTTTGTTTCTCCCTATTACGACCCTTCCCAAGGGACAGGCACTGACAAGGCCAGATTTGTCAGCGATTCCCAACCGTAATATTTTTTGGGTAAAATTCAAATTTCCCTGGAAGGGAAATTTCATCCCAGCACATCTTTCATGTTTTCACAACACTGAATCATTCCTTGGCATATTCTCCTAATGCAGATTAATGTATATCTTTCCCATAAAAGCAGTTGTGTGGAGAAACAAAATGATTCAGTAGTTTACTCTGTCCGCACCCCCCCCCCCAAAAATAGGAGGAACACTACCCAAGACCAGTTAATTCACAATAAGAGGACAGCAGGAATTAATTACTTTGCCTTTTAATTACGTTTCACAAATTGAATGAAAGTTCTTTTGAGCACAGAGTCACTAATTTGGCTCGCAAGTGGGAATCCCACCCCGTGCTGGTCACACAGTGAACTGTGGCATCTGGACGGTAGGGGCAGCCTGCCTGCCTGGGCTCAAGCTCATCTGTGTTCTCTCTTGTGTTCACTCTCAGGAGTTCTATGAGCATGCCAAGGCTCTGTGGGAGGATGAAGGAGTACGTGCCTGCTATGAGCGTTCCAACGAGTACCAGCTGATCGACTGCGCCCAGTAGTGAGTAACCTCTCTCCCCCAGCCACACACAGCATAGGCACAAATGGAGAAAACACTAGAAATCTCAACTCGTGCTTGTAAAGTTATTTGCAAAGGGGTTCCATTCATAGGAGCCAGCCAGTCAAGTCCCACCTGCACTTAGAAAGTTCTGGTCTGATTCATTTGTTAATTGTACTTTTTAGTGCAGTGACATTATTTTATATAAACAATTAATGCCTGTTAGAGCGAAATGATAATTACTTGCAATAAAGTGATGTTCGTAGTTAATTAGCTTGAGGTAATTAATTGGATTGACCTCCAAGCTTTTAGGAAGATTGGGTAGCTCTCACGCTTTGAATAATGTAAAAATATTATACTTCATTGCTGTCATTTAAAAACCTAACCGAAATGGCAAGGACAAAACCATACCCCGCCCCCTCCTTGGTAGCTGAGAATCGCCTTGCTATTTCTGCGATCAGGTAGGTGATTATAGAGTAGTGACCAGAGTCCAGCATTACTGGATGCTGTTCCCCTAGAGTTCTTCGTTCACGCTGGGCTTTAATTCAAGGATGCTTCCCCTTACGGGGAGTGGACCGCCCTCACCCTGCACCTGATACGGTAAATACAGGATGCTCAGAGCCACAAAGAAATTGTTTTCGAAGACAGTGTTTGTAGACTGCGGTTGCACAAACATGCTAAGTGGTCTCAGCGAAAATACGCTGAAGTTGGGTGTCTTGTGACTTGGGGGGGGCAGGTAATGGATACTTGCGACGTTCTAGCCTTTCTTCTGCAGGTCGCTGAAACTCAGAAGCGACTTCACTGTAGAAAATATCAAGTCATCAGGACCAGGGTTCCAGGCTGGCTCACAAAAACCTACAATTGCATTTGCTTAGAAGCCCCAAACCTGAGGGATTTATTGTGAATACCAGTTGAATAAATAGGAGGGAGGAAGAGGTAACAGCAAACAAACAGCAAGTTCCCTAGAATCCTGTTATCTACAAATCACAGAAGCTTCTGGTAGGCTCTGGGAAACCTATCAACGTCCCCCTCCCTGGCCCTGCCTTCCCATAGGAAGCACACAGTCAGCTGTCTCCAGCTCCTGGGGACGTTAGCTGTTTGGCGGTGGTCGCTACTCACCAGTCTGTGTATTTTCCCAAGGAGCAGAAAAACAGTCCCTCTTGGCCAGTCCCGGTGACCCCAACCCCCTACCACTTCTTCAACAAAGTCCCTGATTTTCTCAAAAGTTTGAACTAAAAGCTGGAAGTGCTAATTATAGTAACTCAAAACAAATGGAAATCCTGGAATTGTTTGCGTTTTGTATTTTGGATCCAAGTCAGAAGTACAGGTACAAGATTAGGAGGGTTTAACCCTCCCCATTTTGAGTGCTCTGTTGGGGGGGCGGGGAGAGAGTAACAGTTTCATGAACAGTAATTTACCCAGGTTTCTGGGTTGTTGTTGTTTTGTTTTGTTTTTTTAATTTCACACCATTTAAAAGTTTTCTTACAGCAACATTATGTTGCTCCTGCAGCTTTATCTGAAAATGGCAACATTTGCACAGTTTATGGAAAGTTTTTTTTTTTTTTGATGTTTTATCTTTTTTTTTTTTAAGATTTTATTTATTTATTTGAGAGAGAGAATGAGAGAGAGCATGAGAGGGAAGAGGGTCAGAGGGAGAAGCAGACTCCCCGCTGAGCAGGGAGCCCGATGTGGGGCTGGAGCCCGATGTGGCGTTCGATCCCAGGACTCCAGGATCATGACCTGAGCCACCCAGGCGCCCCAGTTTATGGAAAGTTTTAAGGAAACTTGGAGGAAAAAAAAAGAACATAGGTTACAACTTTTAAAATGTCTTCCCCGGGCAGGACGATAGCGTGCGGGGCACACTGACCAGTATGTTTCTGGTTGAACTGCCTTTACGTTAAAGTTGCCATACTGGTATCTTGCCCATTTCTTAAGCTGCCTATTTTTATTTGTTGAGCTGGGGTTTGGCTGGCCTGGCTCCAGATGTCTCTCTCACAAGATTTGGTGCTGATGATCTATTTATAGAACTGTGGTTCTGTTGCCATGGCAACGTGCTGGAGGCCAGGGCGGCTGGGGAGCTATTTCTGGACTGGTGCTGTAATGTAGGACTGATTGGGCAAGTTAGTATATCCTCTAAGCCAGACTAACTCTAAACTGGTAAAGAGGATGGGGGGCAGGGGGAACTTACAGAATTTCTTCAAAGTATGACTTTTCTCCCTTTGTGATTTTCTTTTCAGTTTTAAAACAATTCTAAACCCCCATCTCCTCCCCCTGCCCCAGGAAGAACTACCCCCTCTCCCAGTTTTAACATTCATTTTCCATATTAATTAAATGACCCCAATCTTTCCAAAGTTTTTTTTTCTAATGGTGTGTCTAGTCCAGCAACACTTGGATGTCTTCATTGCTTTGGGAAAGTTGTGGCCCATAGAGCTTCCTTACGGTGGATGGTGGTCTCTCAGGCCCCAAGCCCCTCTTTTGTGCACGATCCCAGCCCCAGAAGGATCCATAGCCTGGATGGCTGTGGGATTTTTTTTTTTTTTTTAAAAACTCAAAAGTCTCCTATCTGGAGGGTTCTATTTCATGGACCAAACAGAACGGAAGGGAACTTTGTGTTTGTTTCCTGTTCGGTGTGGTTAGGCCAGAAAGGGCCCCTTTGTGTCAACCTCTTTTGTTCTCTTTTAATAAGTGAGATTCTTAAAAAGTAGGAGGAAGGGATACCCATTCTGAGTAATTCAAACAATCTCATTTTCACGAGTCCCTTGAGGGGAAAATCCTTGCTGCTTTTAAGTGTGCCATTTTACTTAAAAAAAAAAAAAAAAATGGAGTAGAAGTGTACAGTTTTCAAATTACTTGCCATTTTAGTCAAAGGCAGACAACTTGAAAATTTTAAATTTTTAATAATTTTCAAATGGCACAAGATCAGGTAGGCCTGGTTTGGGGGCCTCTGCCAGTTGCACAGAACCAAGTCCAGAGCCCCCAGCCCCATCCCCCTTTGGTCCTCTGCTATACCTGTAGGCCAGGGGCCCTGAGAGGCCTAGATCTACTAGTCCTCCAAATACCTTTTCTTAAATGCTGCTTGCTCTAACCTTTCTAAGGTATAGGCTTTGAGTCATCAACATGACCAACACGGACAAAACTCCCGTTGACTGAATGCCATATAACTATGACACCCTCATTTCCATTGAGCTCAACTTCGTAGCGAGACAGGAATTAGGGGCAAATCAGCATGAGCTCATGAGCTCCTTGAACACCCCTGTGTGTCTGTTCTTTTCCTCCCAGCTTCCTGGACAAGATTGATGTCATCAAGCAGGCTGACTATGTGCCCAGCGATCAGGTAGGCAAAAGTTCTCACAGTCAGAGGACTTGGAGCCCTCTTTCCAAGCTAGTCAAGACTTTTGCTTCCAGTTGGCCATTATTAATATTCCAGTTGGTTTTGGTGAGATCCATTGACCTAGATCTTGTTTTAGGATCTGCTTCGCTGCCGCGTCCTGACTTCTGGAATCTTTGAGACCAAGTTCCAGGTGGACAAAGTCAACTTCCAGTAAGTGAACGGTTCCCTTTTTAAGATAGAGACTGGTTTCCTTCAGTTCCCACCAGCAGAGCGGTGGGGTGACTGGGTGTCCTCTGTCTCCCACAGCATGTTTGACGTGGGTGGCCAGCGCGATGAACGCCGCAAATGGATCCAATGCTTCAATGGTATGGAAGCCATAGACTTCTCTGCTCTATAAGGACGTTTTGCTCTTTGAATCATCAAGGTTCACGTTCACCTCTAACATGCATTGCTTTTGCTTTCTCGCGCTGAAGATGTGACTGCCATTATCTTCGTGGTGGCCAGCAGCAGCTACAACATGGTCATTCGGGAGGACAACCAGACCAACCGCCTGCAGGAGGCTCTGAACCTCTTCAAGAGCATCTGGAACAACAGGTTTGTGGAGCATCCCCTTGGCTTCCTCCCAGCCTCTTTCCTGGGGGGGCAGGGGGGAGGGATCCTGTGACTGATCCCAAAGCCCTGTATTTGCACTATTATTAAAAAGAGTCTTGTGCAAGTACATCAGACCCCTTGCAGAAAGAATGCTTTCTTTTCCTGGACATTAAGCCCATATTCCTCTCTGTTAGATGGCTGCGCACCATCTCTGTGATTCTGTTCCTCAACAAGCAAGACCTGCTCGCTGAGAAAGTCCTTGCTGGAAAATCGAAGATTGAGGACTACTTTCCAGAATTTGCTCGCTACACTACTCCTGAGGATGGTGCGTATGACGTTATGCTGTCGCACGGGAGCGTGGTTCCGTTCATTGGTCCTATACACCCCTGACTGTGCTACAAGTCTCCCTTTCTGGAGGTTTTTCACATAGGTGGAGTTTAAGAATCACCTAAATGAACAGCCTCTAAGAATGGAAATGTCCCTTCACTCCCACCACCCAACTATAGGGGATCTGTAGGGAAGCAAGAAGAGCTCACTTCTCTGCATAGAAGTTAAGGGGCTACAATGATGTCAGCACCCTAGCTCTGCCCTTAACCTTTCGATGACCTTACCAAAATGGTTCTGTTCTTCACAGCTACTCCCGAGCCCGGAGAGGACCCACGCGTGACCCGGGCCAAGTACTTCATCCGCGACGAATTTCTGGTGAGTAGAGACTGTCTTTAGTTTTCTCTTTTCTCCAGGCAGTAAATTTACTTGAACATTTGGGGATTAAAATCTCTTCAGTTCTTCCATTTTATTTCACTGGTAGCCAGTGAGAATTTTAGCTTTCACGTAACCTCAGTAAGTAGCTGGTCAGCTCGTCCTTGGCGGATACCCCGTTGATGATCGTAGGGAGGTGGCGCTGACTCGGTTTTCCTGCGTTTGTCCCGCAGAGAATCAGCACTGCTAGTGGAGATGGGCGCCACTACTGCTACCCCCACTTCACTTGCGCTGTGGACACCGAGAACATTCGCCGTGTGTTCAACGACTGCCGTGACATCATTCAGCGCATGCACCTTCGTCAGTATGAGCTGCTCTAAGAAGGGAACACCCAAATTTAAGTAAAGCCTTAAGCACAATTAAGAGTGAAACGTAATTGTACACGCAGTTGATCACCCACCATAGGGCATGATTAACAAGGCAGCCTTTCCTTTTCCCCCCAAGTGATTTTGCGAAACCCCCTTTCCCCTTCAGCTTGCTTAAATATTCCAAATTTAGAAAGCTTAAGGCGGCCTACAGAGAAAAAGGAAAAGGCCACAAAAGTTCCCTCTCTCTTTCAGTAAATAAAATAACAGCAGCAAACAGAAATAATGAAATAAAATAAATGAAATAAAACAAAAGAAGTGAAATAAATATTGTCTTGTGCAGCATTAAAAAAATCAAAATAAAAATTAAATGTGAGCAAAGGATGTGAGTCCTGTGAATTAATTACTTGCGGCTTCGTGCAGATATCCATTGTTCATGGTTTGTCCCCATAATTTGGGTTTCTGAAAACAACTTGCAGATAAGTCAAAAAGTCTACCCCTGTCCTTTGCCCAAGCCCACGCCCCTTAGGAAGCCATTAGCCCATGTAAAGAAAGACTTCCGAATTGGTCATTGCCACCCTATCCATTCTACCAACTTCCCTTATATATGTCATCACATTGTGCCTGTTTTACCTAGAATCTCGCCCCAAAATAGGTGTCAGGTTTGGGGCTCTCTGTCCAACTTTAGGATATGGACTCACGTATGTGGGGGGAAATTCAGGAATGCAGTGCTTCAAAAGACAGGAAGTGGGGTTACTCAAGAAATGGTGTACAATGTAGACCTTTATCAAATCATCACATGGTACACTTAATTATCTCAGAATTTTGTCTGTCATCCCTCAAAGCTGGGGAAAAAAAACAGAACAAGAGCTATCAAATAGAAATGGCTTTGAAACAAATGGCTAAACATTTGGGGACAAACAAACTGGATCCCTACCTCACTCCATATACAAAGGAATTTTATGTGGATCACACATTTAAATACAAAAAAGTCCTTTAAAATGGATATTTTAACAATTAGAATATTGGTTTATAGAAGCCCTCTTCTATATGGTCTAACCGCCACAAGCCGTGGGGGTGGGGTGGGCTATACAAAATGAAAATTATATAAAACAATATGAATGGGGTGGCCACTGGGTAAAAATCCGTAACAATGGGTTGATTCCCTAATAAGGAAAGTACTCGTAAGAACTAATAAACCGTCATAAAAATGCAAAATTCATGAACACACAGTTTACTTGAGAAAAAAAATACAAATAACAGGGAAAATGGGGAGTCTCAAAATGCACTATAAACTCATGGGGAGGTGCTGGGGGGTGGTGGTCAGCATTCATAGGCCCCACATGAAACTCAGTAAAGCTGTAATGGACTGTGGCTTGGGTCTGAGGTCCACTTGGGCTCCCTAATCTTCATCCCCAGGGTCATACCTTAAGCTTGTGGTCACCCCTGGTGTGGCTTCCTGGAGAGGTGGGAGAAGAGAGACCAGCTTGTCTTCAGCATCAACCACTGCACCCTCTGAAAGTGGCCAAATGAAACATTAAGTTGCTAATGTAATTCAGCCCCAAAATCCACTTAACGGTTCTAGTTTCCAGATAAAATTAATCCCGGCCAAATTAATCCTCTTGCATAGCTCCCCAGGGGTGAGCAAAATAAGCCCCAAGGAGGGCAGAAAAAGTAGCAAATACCCAATCTCCATAAACCCTTCGAAAGCTTCCTACATAATATTCAGTCCACATAAAAACTGTGTGCGTGCTCTGTAGATTTTGTTGCAAAACAACTCTCCAAATCACCCCCAAATTAACATCAATCTACATAAGTGCTTATTATGCAAATATAGCCAAAGGACCAACCCACCAATCCCCATAATCCTCCAAAGTACTCCAAATAAGCAGCTAACAAAACCCTGGGTACCAGCTATCAAGACCAGCCCACCAGGATGGCCAGCTCTTCCAAGATGGCTGCCTGTATGCCCCCCACCCACCACCACCCACATAGAAATTCTGGAACCTTCTCTGAAGAATAAACAGAAGATTACCACAGCACTAGCCACAGATCCCATCAAAATTAGGAAACAAATTCTCAGGCCCTAGAGCAGTTACACCAAGAAAATGCCCCAGAACCCCACCCCCTTGCAGGTCAAAATTGGTCCTTTTATGACCCTCCTCCAGAAGGAGGGTCATGAAAGTCAGTTACCCAGCACCTATTATGTGCTGACCACTGCCCAGTGAGACAGTTTCGGCCCTCACCACCATTTTACCAGTGAGTCAACCCAGGCCTAGAGAGGCCAAAGCAACTTGCTGTAAGAGACAAGGCTGGTAAACGGGGAAAATGGGCTTCAAACTCAGGTAGCCAAAGCCTACTGCTTGACTACCACACCATACTGTCCTTCTGGAAGACAAAGATAAAAGAGGAAAAGGTCTCCTGTTGTTCTTTCCAGGATGCCAGTTGCCAGGAGTCCATGACCTATGACCCCAAGGGGAAATCCTGCAGGGCTCTTCTGGACTCCAGAGCCAGCAGTGATGGTGGAGTAGGTGGGGTGGGTGGCAGAGCAGGGAGGGGGTCCTCTTCCCTCGGACAGTGGCATTGGACATACTCCTGCCTTCCCCCCAGTTCAAAGGGTTGCCTTGGGGCCCCCTCCAGTCACTCAAATGTGTCTGAGGGTTCCTTCTGTTCCTTAGGATTTATTCCTTCTATTGAAAACATTTCCATTTCTACTTTCCCTCTGACCTGGTCCCAAACATAACTTTTATAGGGTTACTTTGAAATCTAAATTCTAGGATCTTCAGAAAGCCAAAAAACTGTGAGGAATTTCATCTAAATCTTTGATTACAAGTAGCCATTGGATTTTAAAATTTCAGCTGAATTTTACATCTCCATTTGAAAGCAAAACAACATTTTTCTAAAGGTAACAATTTGTGCCACACTTTTTAAAGGTGTATAGACCATATATAACCACGTATTGACCTTTTAGAGAATAAGTAAAAATAATAATAAACCACTGAGCTCCCCAATAAAGCTTAGTATGAGGAGGGTCTAGAATTGAGCAGAATCTTCAGAATCTTTACCCACTTTCATTTTTATTTAAATGTGGGCAAAATCATACTCCTCAAAATGACCGCCTCTGCAAAACCCGTCTATGTTAAATGACATTCTATTTTAATGGTTTCTTGGCCACGACTGGTCATCTTTGTATGCAACAAATGTATAGAGAGTAGAGGATCTCTGCCAGCCACTGAGTGTTGCTCTCATGGGGTTTCTAGTCTATCAGGGGAGACACACATTTACCAAATAAATAATCAAAAGAATTACAGATGGCGACAAGGTCTCCGAGCTAATAAAACGAATGGGGCAATGGAGAATGGCAGATATTTGGGGAGGGATTCCACTTTAGGTAGAAGAGCCAGAGAGGGCCTCTCAGGGGAGGTGACATTTCTTATGGGAATGCAAAAGAGGAGAAGGAGTTGCCATCCATGTGAGTAGCTAACATCAAAATTTTTTATTAATATTGATTATTGAAACATCATACTTAATACTTATGGAGTACTTTAACATGTGATAGGGGCTGTCCTAGGCCCTTTTTGTGAATTATCTCATTTAATCTCTCTGAAACCCTTTGAGGATGTGTCCTATCATCTGTACAAGATGCACCCAATCTGTGCCCCATTGTACACAATTTTAAAAAGTGATATTTAAAACATGGTGAGTAATTTATGCAAATTATGCTTTTAACAATGGCTACACTGAAAAGGCCATTGCAGTAAGCGCTTAATTTGAGTAATTGCTACCCAGGTTCCTATTTTAGAGTTAGGGGATTTGGTGTCTCTGTGATAATTTTCCTGTGTTTAAACACGCATATACTCTGAACAACTAAAGTTTTCTGGTTTTGTCTAGTGTATTCTATCAGTTAGGAATGTATTCAGCTGCACGTGACAGAACCTTGACTTGGAGTGGCACAGATAAACAGAGACTTATAACTCACTTCACAGGAATCCTGAAGAATTCTGAAAGTGGCTCCTAGTGTTACTTAAGCAGCTCATCAATAGCAGGGCCGGTGCCTCCAACAATTCTCTTGGCTTCTTTCTCTTGGTTGCAAGACAGTATCACATCTTTGCCCAAGGCAGAGAGGAGAGGGAAAGACAGCCTTGCCGACTGTCCCTTTTATCAGGAAGGCAAATGCTTTGTAGCTGCCCTTCCATTTTCTCAACCACGTGAAATACACATAGATACCTAGATAGTAACATAGATGCCTAGATAACTAGCTAGACAGACAGAAAAATGTATGTTTAATAACACTATCACACACACAGAAGGAGAGGGATTTATAATGTTCTGTTGCACGGAGCTTGATGGAACACCTAGAAAGATCTAGCCAGCACCTACAGTTTTTAAGGATTCGGGAAGATAACAGGAAAAAAAAAACTTTCAAATCATAAGAGAGCAATTTGTATAATTCTATGTAAATCAGTTTGAAAGCCTAGACGAAATAGATAGTTGTCCAGAAAAATGCTGTTTATCAAAACTGACCCTGGTGGAGACAAAAAAAAAAAAAAAAATCTAAGCAAATGAGTTACCACAGGGGGGGAACAAAAAAAACCCTCACATTACCATAGTGAGCACCATGACAAGTTGGATCCAGGCTCTTGTTGGAGTGGGAAGCTAGGAAATGGAGGGAGACATGAGGGAGGCTAATGGGGTGTTTGTTTCTTTTTTTTCTTTTTTTTTTTTTAAAGATTTATTTTTTTAAAGATTTTATTTATTTATTCATGAGAGACAGAGAGAGAGAGGGAGAGAGAGAGAGAAGCAGAGGGAGAAGCAGGCTCCCAAGGAGCAGGGAGCCCGATGCGGGACTCGATCCCAGGACCCTGGGATCACGACCTGAGCCGAAGGCAGACGCTTAACCATCTGAGCCACCCAGGCGCCCGGGGTGTTTGTTTCTTTACCTAAATGCTGATTAAACAAATTTATTTGAGAAAATCCACTGAGTTATATACCCATGATTCATGCAGATTCCAGTCTGTATACCATACTTCAAAAAATTTTTTTAATTGAGAGAAAGGAAGAAGGCACTAGACCCAGGTGGTTTTACAGAGAATTATACTAAATCTTTACAGATCAAATCATTCCAATACTACTTAAATTATTTCAGAGTATAACCAAAGGAAAATTTCAAAATTATTTTTGTAAAACAGGCATAACATTGATTTTAAAATATGTCAAAGATTGCATCCAAAAGTAAAATTACAGACCAATCTCATTTATAATATCAATGTGAAAATTTTAAAATATAAGCAAACAGAATCCAATATAAGCAAACAGAATCCAATGTTACATTTAAAAAATAATACATCATGCCTAGATGAGAAATATTCTATGAATTCAAG